TCCGAATCAGAATCTGACGATGTAATTCCATTTATGCTTCTCCTTCCAGGCAATCCGATCTCTTTTCATCATTGAAAAAAATAGGGACAGAGATTTTAAGTTATACCATTCCGCACTCGGCAACGATTCCGACTGTTCATGTAGGAACAGAAACAGACATGAATTAACAGCGCACGCTTCCTATAGCGGCACGGGTGGCCTGTAGGAGATTTTGTTGTAAATACGCGTGCCAGTCAACGTGTTAAAGCGTCCGTTCTAGCCAACGCGAATCTCAGCAAACCAATACACGCGTATGCTATTTTTGTCGTCATAGTGTGCCGCGGGCCTTAACACGTTCCGTGCCGAGCTTTTTTTACTCGAATCTTCACACTTTGATATTTTACTAAAACTTGATGTATTACGTGCAATTATTAATTCTCGTACACATAACAACGTAACAAAAACTTATCAACGCCCATTCTTGCGGTGGAAATTGATTCTTCGGTTCTAAATTTCTTGTAAACAATTTGTTCGGTTCACTAAGTAAACATGCAAGCGTGTACCATCGATGGTACACGTGGCACGGAACGTGTTAAACATTGAATTCGGTCCACGTTCGCGACTTCGCCCGTGCTAATAAGTTGTCGCGACAGCTGCGACGACTTCCACCGACGAGATTCTTCTTCGAAATTCAATTATCAGTTCTCTCGATTTGGACATCGAAAAAATTGGACATCAGAACAGAATCGTCGGCGCGATCTGTTTGTTTCACGATGAAAACGACACGCGTTCCGCGGAATGGCCGGCGCATCGACCTTCCGCAACTTTATACGGTTGCATTCTCGAGCGATCCAAGAGTAGATGCATCATAAACTGCGGGGAACTGGTATTCTCGGCCTGCGCCAAGGCCTCTCGCAGTTTTGCTTCTCTTTTCCGTGGTGTATACGTGCCGGTCCCGGGAACCGCACGGTTCTTGTTCGCAGCTGTGCAAGGTGCAATCGCAACTTTCAGTTTGCAATGTTCTTTACCCGGCCGGCTGAATTATGTCGTATCCGAGCGCAGATCATATTTCCGGCTTACGTTCATGCGAGGGAGTAAACAACGGACAATTTCGCCGCATTTTTATGCACCGTCTCGCGTCGAATTTTTTCGTCGCGAACACCCCGCACGCGCTACGCGTACGTAATTGTCCTTAAACCGTTGCCGTGCTACCATTTTCTTCATGGTTATGCCGGCTTTTTCGATTATAATCATTTCACGGAGGAACATTCGCGTTTATTGTGCGCCAAAGTTTTCTCGAATAGTTTATTGTTGCGGATAGAATTTTATGGTTCGGTCAATTTTTGTATTCATTCGATCCGACTTAGCTTTAATACAAGTTTAGTGCAATCGATTTTAATTGATTAATTTAGGAAATAAGAAGCGTTGTCTACTCTAAAAAGATCGTCGAATGTAACTTGATATTCGTATTGATTAAAATCTGATTGAAATGCTAGTTGCAGCTGCTTTTATTAATTCGTGAATTTAGAAAATTGGTTGTATCGAAATTTTAATGCAATTTTATACAATTTTATGGTTCAGTTAATTTTTGTATTAATTCGATTCGGCTTAGTTCTAATACAAATTTAGTGCAATCGATTTTTTAATTGATTAATTTAGGAAATAAGAAGCATTGTCTATCGTAAAATGATCGTCGAATGTAACTTGATATTCGTATTGATTAAAACCTGATTGAAACGCTAGCTGCAGCTGCTTTTATTAATTCGCGAATTTAGAAAATTGATTGAATCGAAATTTTAATGCAATTTTATACAATTTTATGGTTCAATTAATTTTTGTATTAATCCGATTCGACTTAGTTCTAATACAAATTTAGTACAATTGATTTTTTAATTGATTAATTTAGGAAATAAGAAGCGTTGTCTACCCTAAAAAAATCGACGAATCTAATTTGATAATCGAATTGATTAAAACTCGTTCAGAACATTAATTGCAGCTGCTTCTATTAATTCGTAAATTTTGAAAATAGATTGAATCTAAATTTTAAGAGAATTCGATACAATTTTATGGTTCATTTAATGTTTATATTAATTCGATTCGACTTAGTTTCAATGAAAATTGAAAATTCATTCGGCTTTAATTGGATCAATTTAGAAACTAAAAGCGACTTCGTCGAAGCGTTGATGAATTTGCGAATGTCTCGGTGAATTTAGAGACTGGAACACACGCGATTGCACAAAGTTTATGGTAGTTTCGCTGGCTGTTTAAAGAACATTATCTTCGGCACGGTGAAAAAGTTCGCCGGGCGACAGAATTTTCCGGGAAATCTTGACTGGAAGCTTTCAGACGGCGGTTGTACACATCGCGCCGCGCAATTTGCAGCAAGTTTTATCAAGAAAATTACTCTCCCGATCGCGGAGTTTCCTCGTTATTAAAAGACGACGTTTCACTGCTTCCTTTTGTTAATAACTTCAACACGGCGCAACGATTATTTTTGTCCCGGAGAGATCTTGATCAGTAACGAAATAAGATTGCTTAATTAACGCTGTTTCTTTTACGATCACTGATACTGCAAACATGTTTGATTTCATCAGATGTATTATAACACAAATTACAGGATTTTTAAATAAATCTAGTCATTGTTTTGCGAAACGATATAGATTGGTCGCGTTTAGGGCTCGGTAGTTCTAGCGTAATTTTTAATATAAATTATTTCCTATGTTCTATGTGTCAATGCACTTCATTTACAGTACTTCAATTACCGTGCTTCGATTGCCGCACTTCATTTAGAGTACTTCAATTACTGTACTTCAATTATTGTGCTTGAATTACTGTGCATCAATTGCTGCATTTCAGTTTCACTACTCCAATCACTGTGCTTCAATTGCTGTGCTTTGATTGCCGAGCTTCAATTACTGTGCATCAATTATTGTACTTCATTTACAGTCCTCCAATTATCGTGCATCAATTATTGCACTTCATTTGGAGTACTTCAATTACTGTGTATTAATTACTGCATTTCATTTACAGTACCTCAATCACTGTGCTATAATTACTTTGCTACATCTGTATGATCTATAAACTGTGAATTATGCTCGTTTCTGACAAAACAGATCAGGTCAAACACGGAACGGTAGAAACGTTAAATTGATTTAAGAAAAAAAAGACATACTTGCATTATTTTCGACTCGTCGAAGCTCATTATCAGTTGATTTGACAGACAATTTCGACTTCCCATAAAAATCCGCAGTGATCCATATAATCCTAACTTGCCTGACCTCCGATCCGGTTCCTATCAATTACGTGCTAATTGTTAACCATGTCAACGTCCACGTTCCGTGAACGCCGAAGAGTGGACGGCTTTACTGCTAACAAGAGGATCTTGATAATCCCGCGGCATAACAGCTGGCCACGTGTTCTGATAGGCGACGGCGCAATTTGTCCGATCTCGTTCGTCTGCGACACAGCGGTTTACGCTCCACTTATTTTCCGAATTGGCGGAATATAAACTGGAGGCCCCGGAGGCGCTCCACGGCTTAGAGACGGCGAATGTGGTCCATTACACGTGTGCTCGAAGATGACGACGCGATGGGATAGTAAACACGGCTGGGACCGTTAGGGAAATGAAAGCTTACTGGCAACTGACAGCCGGTTCGAGATTCGTGGAAGTTTATTCTCCTATATTAGCCAGCACGTACGAAAAGTTCCGATGATTTGCCGAAGCCAGCCCCGCCGAGAGCTCGCAATTCTGTTAACCCTTTGCACTCGAGCGGTGACTCGAAGGGACACCGCTCGAAATTGCATCACGTTCCAAAATCACATTTTCACGTCATCGCGTCTGTTTATCTTTGAAAAATGTTAAGAAACGTAACCGCTGTATACGAGCCGCAGAATTGAATAATAGACATTATTAACCCTTTGCAGTCGAAACCATTTCAACTCGAAATTTTATATACATATGAAAATGAATTTTGTTGCACAGTGTGTGAATGAAGCACTGTAATTGTAGCACAGTGATTGAAGTACTGTAAATGAAATGGAGTAATTAATACACAGTAGTTGAAGTACTCTAAATGAAGTGCAATAATTGATGCACGATAATTGGAGAACTGTAAATTAAGTAAATTGCTTCCAGCAATGGAAGCACAGCGATCGAAGCACAAAGATTGAAGTACTATAATTGAAATGCAGAAATTGATATACAGTAATTATAGCACAACAACTGAATCACAATAATTGAAGTACTGCGAATGAAGTGCAGTAATTGATGCACAATAATTGAAGCACAGTGAATGAAGCTCAGCAATCGAAGCAGAATAATCGAAGCACAATAATTGAAGTACTCTAAATGAAGTGCAGCAATCGAAGCACAGTAATTGAAGTACCGTAAATGAAGTACTCTAAATGGAGTGCAGCAATCGAAGCACGGTAATTGAAGCTTATCAGAAATTATCATCTCTTTCAAAATGCAGCAACTCGCTCGAGGCTCATATTTTCCCTTTTCTCAGACGTTTCGCATTCTTCGTATACTTTGCACTAGAAAAAAATTCGTGCTTATACAAAACACGTTTCACACAATTGCAACGTGTTGAAAAGCCGCAACATATAGATACAAAAAAGAGCCGTTGAATAGATCAAAAAATTCGCGACGTCATGTTAAAAGGCACAGTGATCGACACATCAGGCCCATTGTTGTGATTAGGCGCGCGTTAAGCCGTTGCCCGAATGGAAAACAAAAACTGGCCAACGCAGGCGAGCGAGGCTCGGCGAGCGCAAGGTCGCCGCGCTGTCAGTTCTCGTTCGGCCCTTTTTCGATCTGGTCGACCGTCAACGTGCCGGCAGGGCTCGGGCATTCAACAGGTATGTAGTACCTATACAATCGATGTGTGTTCGCGGGCTGGCGCGGCGCGGCCGTGGTGTTCACCTCGGCTCTGTTGCGTTGGTATCAGTGGATCCGCGCCTCCTTCGAAGAGACGCTTGCGCCGGTAAGGCAGAGCCGGAGCCAGCTCGCTCCATGGCCACCCGTTCGTTATTAGTACGCCGCCGGCCGTCGAAGCTGGACCATCTTCCGTCGCGGTCCGACCGGTTGGTCGCCGGATTTTTGTTTACGCGCCACGGTTTTTACCATTATTTCGGCCGTCCGCGCCAAGTGTGAACGACTTCCCCGATTTCCCCGGTACCATCGCCAAGGGCGGACCGGCCGCGTGCCCACCCCCCTCCGGCAGCTTCGTTTTTTCCCTGTGCACCACCCCGCCAGCAGTGAGAATTTTTCCGTTCGGAGATCATCTGCGTTTTATGCCGACGACCGCCGGGAATTTCCTAGCATTTTTGTGCCGGATGTTTTGGTTGAGTGCGGGTCGACGAAGTTTTTAGGGGATGCTCGCTGGCACTGGTGAGTAACTCCCTTCGGAAATGGTACTTGTTCGAGCGGGGGCGATCTCTTCTTGTTCGGGTTGGTAGGGGTTGATAGGGCTGATAGGGTTCGACGAGTGTTCTGTTGTTCTATCAGTGTTCGACCAGGCTTTCTTTCGAGCAGATAATGCGTTTTCGAGGAACGCTTTTCTTAGGTTCAACAGTTTTCACAAAGGGTTGGATCGCGCGCGGTTATTTTTCTTGGCGGTGTTCGTCTTCGAGTGTCACGATATCAAGCGTTTTATGTTAATGTTTCATGTTGGTATTTGATATTGATACTTGATATTCATATTCAATATTGATGCTTGATATATTAACATTTAATATTGATATTTCATAGTAATATTTAATATTGATATTTAATTGCAATATTTGATAGCAATATTCAATAGTAATATTTAATATTGATATTTAATATAGCAATATTCAGTAGTAATATTTAATATTGATATTTCGTAGTAATATTCAATAGTACTAATATTGATACTTGATAACAATATTTAATATTCATATTTAATAGCAATATTCAATAGTAATATTTAATATTGATATTGAATAGCAATATTTAATAGCAATATTCAATAGTAACATTTAACATTGATATTGAGTAGCAATATTTAATAGCAATATTCAATAGTAATATTTAATATTGATATTGAATAGCAATATTTAATAGCAATATTCAATAGTAACATTTAACATTGATATTGAGTAGCAATATTTAATAGCAATATTCAATAGTAATATTTAATATTGATATTGAGTAGCAATATTTAATATTGATATTGAATAGCAATATTTAATAGCAATATTCAATAGTAACATTTAACATTGATATTGAGTAGCAATATTTAATAGCAATATTCAATAGTAATATTTAATATTGATATTGAGTAGCAATATTTAATATTGATATTGAATAGCAATATTTAATATTGACATTGAGTAGCAATATTTAATATTGATATTGAGTAGCAATATTTAATATTGATATCGAGTAGCAATATTTAATATTGACATCGAGTAGCAATATTTAATATTGATATCGAGTAGCAATATTTAATATTGACATCGAGTAGCAATATTTAATATTGATATCGAGTAGCAATATTTAATATTGACATCGAGTAGCAATATTTAATATTGATATCGAGTAGCAATATTTAATATTGATATTTAATATTCACATTTACTAGCAACATCCAATATTAATATTATCCAAGATCGCTGTTTTAATATCACTCGTGATAACTTGACGTCTAATCGACTCCGTATCAATAACGGCGATACGTCCAGGCGATACGGGGTCAATTTGCCGTTAAGTCACTGCCATTGTAGCGATACGGAGTCAATTTGACATGCATCACCGCCGGTCACGAGTTAATTTGACGCGTACGCCGCCACTTATACTTTAACTATCTTACGGAGAAAGTTTTTCAGGCCGGATCCGACGGTTTGACGCGTATCCCAGTTCTTGCTCGTGCCAGATGCGAGACCAAGAACAGTTAGTTGTTTATGTAACCTTTGTCGAGGTGCTCCGGGCAGTACATATTCCTTCCGTTCACCCTGACCGTGTAATAAGAAAGAATGTCATTACAAAAAGAGATCGGAATATCATTAGAAGTCTGTTCCTTAGTGAGAGAGAGAGAGAGAGAGAGAGAGAGAGAGAGAGAGAGAGAGAGAGACAGAGAGAGAGAGAGCCAAGTTCGCTCGGCTTTCCGATGGGAATCAATCCGTTTGAAGGCTTATTAAATATCCACAGATTCGAGGAAGCTGAAACGACGACTATATGCAGTCACGTGCGAACCCAGAGGAATTGGGTCGGTCGAGGGGTCGGTGAAACCGTCGAAAATCGAGAATTTTGTGTAATCGTGTGCAGCACAGACTTTTTGATCGACCAGATTGGTTATTTCGGACGCGCAAGATGCTGCGACGTGGATCACGATGAAACGTGTTCGTTTCTAGATGTTTCGAGAGTTTGCGTGTATAGGTGGGGTCATTTTGGAGAATCGTGGATCTTGAAATCTTCGCGTTTCGATGCGACTGCGAGTAGGATCCTTGTGCGATGGAACGAGCAGCTTCGAATTCAGCGTAGTTTCTACGCTTTGAAACTGTTCCTCGTTGACCCTCGTCTTTTTCTAACTTGACGTCGTCCTCGTCGAATCGGCACCGTCGTGAAAAAATTGACACTATCGCGAAAAAATTGACACCGTCGTGAAATAATTGACACTGCGGTGAAAGATCAATATAGCAAGAAACAAGCTGCTGAATATTTGCTGAATTTTTTGTTGGGAATACATAGAAGCATCTCCGCGCGACGTTTCCCCCCGCAATTTGTCGCCCAGAGCGAAACCATTCGCAGATTTAAAGTTCCCCGTTAATTTAGAGCCGCGGTCTACGCAGCCGCGAACGCAAAGTTTACAGCGCAAACAGAGCAACGCCGAACAATAATCTCGCTTCCGAAACAATTCTGCGTTTCTATTAATTTTTCTCAGCGCGCGGTCCGCTGATTACCATTCTAATCTTTTCGGCTGCCATAAATCACCGCGGAACTCGGTTTACGTAACTGCATTACAGCGTAACGTGAAGATAACGCACAGCAGAACTGTCAACGACGCGAGGACGTCGCGTTAATCGTCCGGCGAATATCGCGAATTCGAGTTTATTGCACTTGTTATTAACAATCGGCGACTATAACAACGAGCCGCGAGGCTGAGCGACGATTGGGGAGAATTTACTGTAATAGCAATATTTAAAGAAAGTATTTCTCTCTCTCTCTCTCAGTCATTGTTTAATAGAGAAAAGCTAAATCTCTCGACGAGAGAATATCGAAAAATTAAACGCAGGAAATTCGGAATAGAAATTGAAAGCTAAAATCGTGCGAATATCTTGAACGAGATTATGTCAACGCGTTCGCAAAGAACGGAGCTTCAAAAATCGCCATTTCGGGGTTCGAAGCGTCTTCTAAATTCCGGTTACAGTAAATTCTCCCCAATTTTCCTTCAGCTTCTACACAAGAATGATCAATTCGGGAAAAGGAGACGCGATTATTCGAGTCTCGCGGCTCCTTTTTACAGTCACCGATTGTCAGCAACTGTAAAAACGAGTCTCAAGACTCGAACAATCGTGTCTTCTCTTCCCGAATTGGACATTTTTGCGCGCGATCCGAGCGCGAATCGATGAGAAATTAGCTGCTGATTTACGCCGCGCGATCCTAATCGTTTCACCGACTTCTCTTCTCCGCAATCCGAGCGCGAGTTACGGAGAAATTATGCTGTATCGCGTTTTTCCGCGGGCCGCGCGATATGTTTAAGTATTCGAACAAACGGCGCGACGGGTTTCGGTATCGCGGAAGAGAAATCGTGCCGGCGTCGACGACGACGACGACGACGAGCGCACGCCATTCGTATACAAATTTAACGAAGCACGTTGGAGTTTGCCAAGCGACGTTTCGCAATCGCCGAAGACACCGATACGGCTACGTACGTTTCTTGAACGCAAATCCACCGTGTCAGCCGTGTTCTCCACATTCCGTCGTACACGTTTCCTTATCCTCTTTCGTTCTCTCTTCTTCTTTCTTTCTCCTTTTTCCGTTCTTTTTTTCGAGCGTTCCCGCGCTCTCCCGCGCGCGCATCCCCGCGCACCCCCGCCGCCGTCGATCGTTTATTAACTCGTTCACCGTTTTCCTTTAGCCGTTCGTGCACTATTCGAGGCATCACCCGGAATACCGATCGTCCCGTGAATTTCGAACCCGAACGAGATGATTCTTTTCTCGGTCGAACGTTCCCGAATCGCGGTATCAAACGACCGCGATTGGAAAGGTCGCGGGATCCGATACGATCGAACATCCTATTAAAAAGACAGCCCCGGGACTCCTCGATTTCGGTGAAACCCGCAAGAAAACAATTTCTGCCGAAAGCCCGCCGCGTTTCCGATTCCGGAGTTCAGCCGTTCGAACGGACACCCACGGTTTCCGGAGACTTGTTTTTCGAATTTCTTGTTGTTCGTTCCGTCGAGCCAGAGCTATTCTAATTCTTTCATTTCGCGGTATCGGGTCCTGCAGACTCGTACGACAGTTATTTGTTTATTATATATATATTTATTTATTAATTATATTACATTTTGTTTGTATTTATTATATTTTTATTATATTTATTTTATTTTATTTTTAATTTATTTATTTCTAATATATATATATATATTTTTGACTTGGTGCACTGATAGAGCTCGTAAAGCTGAATCCAATGATACCCGATTTGGGGGGCACACGGCTTATAGTTTCTGAGATAATCAACGTTAAAGTCGCTAAGAAGTGACCAGTAGGACGCACCCCCCCACTCCTGCGGGTTAGTGTCGCGATGCGTATCCAGGCAGGAGTGGGAGGCGCGCGTCTTCCCGGCCTTTGATTAGCTACTTTAACATTGATTATCTCAGAAACTGTAAGCCGTGTGCCCCCCAAATCGGGTATCATTGGATTCAGCTTTACAAGCTCTATCACTGAACCGAGTCTCATCGAAAAATGGGCGTCTACCCTGGGACCATCCCGCCCCCCTCGTTAAAGCTAGTTCTTAGAATACAGGTCAGTTTCGAACGGTTTACGAGCACGTCGACGTAAACGTCGACGCGATTTAGTAGCGATCGCGGGCGAAGCTGTTTCCGAAACGTAATTCGACATTTTCGTAATTCGAGCTATTTTCTCGCGCGCCTCTGCATCAGATCGTTAAATACATTTATTCCCGCGATAAAACTGCACGGATTGGCTCGCGAAACTGCTCGCTTGACCGCGGATTTTATGCATTTGCGAGGGGAACGAGCAGTCGCGATGTCAAACGGTCGAAAGATTAAAAACATTTGGCAGTGTCGGTGCATATATTGTTTTTCGACGTTCGCTTGAAATTAGTAAGAATATGCAACTTTTAAGTTGCAACGGGGGCAGATAATTTTTGCACAGGCTGGTTAGAAAGGGGTAACTTTTTCAAATTTATAATATGGAATAATATATAATAATATATTATTATAATATATAATATATAATATATAATATATAATATATAATATATAATATATAATATATAATATATAATATATAATATATAATATATAATATATAATATATAATATATAATATATAATATATAATATATAATATATAATATATAATATATAATATATAATATATAATATATAATATATAATATATAATATATAATATATAATATATAATATATAATATATAATATATAATATATAATATATAATATATAATATATAATATATAATATATAATATATAATATATAATATATAATATATAATATATAATATATAATATATAATATATAATATATAATATATAATATATAATATATAATATATAATATATAATATATAATATATAATATATAATATATAATATATAATATATAATATATAATATATAATATATAATATATAATATATAATATATAATATATAATATATAATATATAATATATAATATATAATATATAATATATAATATATAATATATAATATATAATATATAATATATAATATATAATATATAATATATAATATATAATATATAATATATAATATATAATATATAATATATAATTGTGCAATAAATATATAACTGTATAATTATATACTATAATATATAATTGTACAATAAATATATAATTAAATTATATACTATAATATATAATTGTACAATAAATATATAACTAAATTATATACTATAATATATAATTGTACAATAAATATATAACTGTATAATAATATACTATAATATATTATGTACTACATAGCATAATAATATAATGTATTTATTATACAAAATTTAGAATAGCGGAACAAAATGGAATACTTTGCAACTTATACATAGACTCAGGATTTTTACGTAAAACAATAATAATTGTTTGCACTAATTTCCAAGATACAGACGCCGTATAAATATTTCTTTGGTTTATCAGTCGTTTTAACAAATCGAAAATAACGTAACAATTTTTTTGCATTTTATATAAATGTTTTTACATTTCCGTATTTGACTTGCTTGTTTTTCTCATAAATGCATCAAATCCACGGTACATTTCGCGATCATGGCTTTCATGCGACGAATCCGTGTGCGTTAGCTCGTTTCACGATCGTCGACATAAACGCGTGTCGCGTTCGCAGGAGACCGGTAAACAAATTCATTTGTTGTCAGCGACGCGGCTGTTAAAAAAGTACGGGCAGCAGCACGCTTTGGAAATCAGGGGCTCGGTTGACCAGACGAGATGCTAAATTTTGCCGGCGCAGCTTTCAAATGTTTCGCGTTTGTTGTTTTATTTTTTGCAATCGTCGATATACGCGAACGTTATTATAGAAAACCGTGGAGCAAATTGATTCGTCGACGCGCAACGCGCCAATAAAAGCCGCATCGAATTTCAAATATATTTTCGTAATTTCGATAGAAAATCGAAATTGATTCGCGTCGGCCATTCGCCGGTTCTCATTGTGAAAAAAAATATACGTCGGTCGAATTTTGGTAACTGGAAACCAGCGAAATTTCGTTAAGGGGAAAGGCGGAGTGATTTTTGTTGAAACGTTGCCTCGAAATATTCAGACAGGTGAGTTGTGTTGTAACAAAAAAGTGTAAATGTAATAGTTCACGAAAATTCGGTATTCGATTTCAGACTTTGAAACGCGATTAGCAATAATATATTAATATTATATAATGTTAAATTAATATTGCATTATATTAATGTTACGTAGTATTACATTAATATTGCATTATATTAATGTTATGTAGTATTACATTAATATTGCATTATATTAATGTTACGTAGTATTACATAATATTGCATTATATTAATGTTATATAGTATTATATTAATATTACATGTATTATATTATACTGTAAGTAAATAAATGCATTGCATATAGAGATTATTGTATAAAGATCATTGCATTGAGATTATCGCAATAGAGATCATTGCAATAGAGATCATTGCAATAGAGATCATTGCAATAGAGATCACTGCATATAGATCATTGCAATAGAGATCATTGCAATAGAGATCACTGCATATAGTTCATTGCATATAGATCATTGCAATAGAGATCATTGTAATAGAGATCATTGTATATAGATCATTGCAATAGAGATCATTGCATATAGATCATTGCAATAGAGATCATTGCATATAGATCATTGCAATAGAGATCATTGCAATAGAGATCATTGCAATAGAGATTATTGCATATAGATTATTGCAATAGAGATCATTGCAATAGAGATTATTGCATATAGATTATTGCAATAGAGATCATTGTATATCGATTATTGCATATAGATCATTGCAATAGACATCATTGCATGTAGATCATTGCAATAGAGATCATTACATAGAAATCATTGCATAAAGATCACTGCATAGAAATCATTGCACAAAGATCGGTTAAATTAGAATTATTAAACAGCAATAGTAATAAAATTAAATCGAGTTATTAAATATCTATTTAACAGGCTTCCGGTAAATAATAGATCGTTTCTGGTAAAAAGCGGCGAGAGTCCGAACTTCGAAATGAAATCGCGGACCCCCCGCGTCGTTGCACCGTAACGCGGAAGAATCTTTTGCAGCGGAGTAAAATTTGTTCGCCGGCGTTCGTTAATTGTTCCGTATCCGGGAGAATCGCGATGATTTAATCCGACTCCGGAGCCGCGGGATTAAAAAAATGATTACGGCGATCGGCGGTGCCGACAACGCGAGCAAATCCTTTAAGTCCGCGGACGATTAGCCGGTTACCGGAGACGGAATTATTACGAAATCGCTTTGATAGTTGCTTCAGAAATGTTTGCGCTTTCATCGGAAACATACGAAGTCTCAATGACGAACATTGACGAACATTGTCCATTGTTGTTTTCTTATTCTTATTATCGATTTATTGCCTTTTGTCTCAATCTGTTATTCCCATTTAATTTACATTCGTTGTCAGTATTATTTTTAATATTTCTTTCTTTTCTTTTCTTTTCTTCTGTTATTATTTATTATTCTTTATTTCTATTATTAAACTTGTTGCAACAAACAGATCTTTTTCCTCTGTTTGTAGGTATAAATAAATAAATATTATACACATATAATAATATGTATATACATATAATATTATGTATATATAAATATATATGTATAATATATAATATATTTACATTTATAAATAAATATTATCGTTGTTATTCGGTATATTGTAATTAATTAAGACAATCTTGATTGCGGTTTCTCTTTGGAATTTCAAATACGGCAAAGTTTGATAAAAATTCGTAATAAAAATGAATCAGGTGACCCTTGAAATGGAAGAGAAATCAAAAGAATTGAAAAATGTTGCCGCATAATTTTTCATTTTATTATCGAAGGAGCTTGCTAATTAGCTTACATTTCTCGCAATTATTCCTGTTAACCGCGCGGCGCATGAAAACGGAGAATTTTTCGACGCGTTTTTACAGTCGCGGTGCACGCGGTGCAACGGGCGTAAAACGGTTTGTTGGTAAGCATCGCGAGGTACGCGGGCACATTAGCGGAAGATAATCTTTAATTTACGCCGGGACGCCTCCAGAACCGATTCCCGTTAATTATCATAAAGCCTGAAAAGGCTGGGAAAGATCCGCCGGCGCGGCCGAGGGCTCGGATAGCGGAAGAGAAAACCGGGCGAGGAAAAGAAAAGAAAAGAAAGTAATTTAGAAGTTCCGTGATTAATGAAGTAATTCGTTCCGAGTAAGAAGTTGTATTTCATTTCGTCCGACTTCCGTTCTTCGGCCTGAATTAATCTCCGCGGAATTATGCGATCCTTGGGACGAACGGGGGCTGCCACTGTTCATCGTAAAACGCGCGAATCTGCTCGACAAGTGGTTCGAACACGCTCGCGTCGCGGATTTATTGTTATTATGACAATTATAATAATTATTATTATTCAGTTATTTCAGCGCGGTCGCGCTAACGCGGGGTCATCAGCGACCACGTGGTTTGCAATTAACTGCACATAAAGACTAATATCCCAGATCAGAAATAAAATTTATATCGACTCGATCGAGTGCAGAGTGTCGCAAAAGTTACTAAAAATCGGGAAATTAGGGGTTTCTCAGGTGATTTGAAGCAACTTTTTCCTTTGCGCAAATGCAATCCGCGGCTTCGTTCACGAGTTATTCGTGAAAAAACACTGACCAATGAGCGCACCAAGCGCAGTCCCGCCCACTGGCTTGGCCGGCTCGTGCCAGCCGCGCGCTCGCCACTCATTGGTCACCGTTTTTCGTTAATAACTCGTAAACGAAGCCACGGATCGCATTTTCGCAAAGGAAAAAGTTGCTTCAAATCACCTCAGGAACCCTTTGACTAACTTTCAGGACATCCTGCAAAACGAATCGTATCGATTTATAGATTCAAACGCTGTGGATTTTTTATTATTATTACTACAATTTATTTATTTCAGCGCGGTCGCGTTAATCGCGGAGTCATTAGCGACCACGTGAATTACAATTAAGCGTGCATAAGGATTTATATGTTCTAGATTGCAATTAAAATTTCCATTGACACGAGTGATTATATCGAATCGTATAGATTTATGGATTTAAACGGCGCGGATTTCGCTCGATGAAAATAGGCGATTTCTTTTTTTTTATTGACTGTGCCCATAGACGCGCGCGCGCGCCTAGGGAATTCATTATCTTGTCAGTGGATAGAACGTAGCGGTAATTAAAAGCAAACAATCTATGGTGATCCTCCATTTTTCGAACATTATTATTTCCGTAGTGGTTATTCGAACGCCGGTTGAAGCGTACGAGCTGATTGCGGACAAGTGAGGGGAAACAGGAAAGGAAAATTACGGCAGTGGGGGACTGCGATGTGCAAGAAAAAAAAGTGTGTGTGCATCTGTTAATAAGAACGTGACCAGGGTAACTCGTGGACGATAAACGGCGAACAGAAGTGTGAGTAGCCCAGACAGTAATTATTATTCGATGCTTATTTAAAATAAAATCAAAACTGTTCGTATTAATTAATTACTTTTTTTTACAAATACAAAGGAACAAAACTATAATATTATAGTTTAATTAAATGATAAAAAATACATGAAAATACATTGACAAAGAAATCCGCGATATCTTTGAGGGGTGGTTTTCACCCCCAAATTTATGAAAATACTGTGAAAATTGTATCACTGGGTACGATTGTAAAATCGCAAAAAACGAGAATAGTATTATTTTTACGGTAACTTGAACCACGTTTCCGCGAAATAGCAGATTTCTTAGAATTCTCGAACCGTCGATGTTCCCTTGTCAGTCGTGACTTCTTGCTGACCGCTCGCTCCTTATCCCGGAAATCTGTTTCTCTCTTGAACCCGAGTTTTTTCCGGGACATCCTCTCTCTCTCTCTCTCCATCTCCCTCTTTCACCCCTTTGCTATCTCTAGCTCGGATTTCCGCCAGCAATCCCCGAAACCGGTTTTTCTAGGTCCCACGTCCGCGCGCGCGTTTTTCCTTGGAGTCCGCCCTCGCAGGCATCTCTTTGTCTCCCGCGGAGATTGAGATTGAATAATTGAACGGGAACGCGCGGAGATGCGAGGGGGGTGTGCGCGGGTCCATTTTTCCAGGGTCTCCCGCGGAATTAGCGGCACGGTGGCCGAGCCGAGAGAACTCCGCCGGAGCGCAATCTTAATTACGTCGGATTTATTATTGAAACGTGTGTCTTCGCCCGTTTACCCCGTTCCCCGCCCCGTCCCGTCCCGGCGGGCACCGATTGCTCGCTACAGAGTCCCCCGGCGAATTACCCTTCGAGATCGCAGCACATTTTCATGCTGGACTGATTGCGAGAGCCAGCCCGCCGTCATCTGCATGCGAAAGAAACATTCCCCGCGTCCGCTCCTCCGAGAAGCCGGAATTTTCTTTCCCTCGTCCCTTTGGTTCTGAAATATTCCTTCACTAAACTATGTTCCTTTACTTTAGAAACGACCGGTCCCGAAGCCTTTCGTTTCGCAGTTATTTCATGCGATTTTTAGCTTTTTACTGGAACCCTTTCGATGCGAGGTCATGTTTGCTACATTGAAAAATTGCCAAGTTCGACGAATTGCACGGACTTTGTACAATTTTTTTTCAGGGATGCCGTTTACGGTGGAACGAAGTTCGGTCTTTCCTCTTTAATTTCAGAAAAAAGGAAGGTAGCTGCGATTTTTTTTCGCGAAGTTACAGGACTTTGAAGTGACCCTTGTAATTTCCAACGCGACGAATGTGGACTCATATTGAAAGAGTCACAGTGGCGAGGATGCGTCCAGCATAAAATTGAGAAAATGCATGGTAAAGTAGAAGCTTCGAGCTTTAAATTGAAGAAAGAATCACTATCCTACGATGATTTTTTGCAGAGTTGTCGTTGATCGAAGTTGACCAATTTTCGAAATTTCGCCGCCACACACCGCAGTAATTGACACACGTATGGAAGATAGAAACAAATTTGCATCAATTACTGTGGCTAGTAGGATTGATTTTCCGGAATTATGGTAGTTGGATTACTCTATCTAAAATTTACGCTAAAATGAACAGTTTATTATCAATTACCGAAATAGAAATGCTCTTCGAATCAGTTTTCGAATATCACAGGTCAAAATAAATGAATTAAAATAATTGCTGTTACCTGCATGTCGTAAATTATCAATTGTAAACATATGAAAAAGATATAATACATAGGATAGAAGTAAATTAAAAGATATCATTCTTAAAAAAAAAGTCCAACCGCATCGATCATCATCGTTCATATATTCGGCGAATCGCGAGCACGCGACGGCCATTGAGGAGCCAATAATCACGTGACGGATACGACCGAGCAAAAATCGTTGAAACCGAATTCGAGAATGGATGCATTTCGCATAATTCGGCGGGAACGGAGCAAACATCGATATCATTCCGGTCGGAGTAGCGCGGCGGACGCAACGAACGAGCATAAACACAATTCGGGACGAGGCTACCCCGCTCCGGGTATAGCGTCCATTATCACCGATGAAAATAATATTCCCGTAAATACGAGGTCGCCGCGGCCAGCCGGAGTGCAGGTGTCGAACGAACGAACGAGCGAACGGAACGGAACGGAACGGTTTATCCTTTTAGCGGGTTGGTCGCGTGAAAATCGACGCGAACACGCCGGCCGAGATAGCAGTTTTTAATCCGCGGATAAACCAAAGGATCCGGGGACAATCGGCGCGGCGCGGCAGGGCGCGGGGGTGTGTCGCACCGGTGTCACGGTGCACGGGGAAATTACCGAGGTGATTTCCGGAATTTAACGGGGCAGTAAGTCGAAGCCGAACGAGTGGTTAACGAGCGGGCCACGCGACGATATCGGCCGAAATCGTCGCGGCATTCGACGGTGTTCCGAGGCAGGCGGCGGCGAGTTTGTCGCTCGGTTGACAACAATGCCGCGCAAACGATCTCTGAACCAGGTATTAACAATGTCCCGTAATTAGAGAGTCGTCTCTTGCATTTCCGCGCGCGCCCACGGCGGCGCGCTCATAAATTTAAGACGACGACGACGACGACGACGAGTTCTCGTTTCAATTGTACGCGTATCGTGTTACCCTTAATTAGTTATTTAGATTGTTCTATTTCGAATTCTACGAATGCGCGTGTCTCGTCTTCTCCTAATGGTGAACTTGAACAAAATAATTGCTAAAATTGCTTCACTTTACGAAGGAACGAGACAAGCATTTCTTTCTTTTTTTTTTTGACAAATTTCTATCGAGTTGTTGGTTTTATTTTTTCATAATTCTAGGGTTAAACATTGGGCTTGCGAGATTTCGACGAGACACGGTTGTTCTTGCGTTCCTGGTCACTTAAATAACAATTGTGTTGGAGATCGATCATTGATTCTACATTCAAGTAGAAACTGTAATGAGTATTCCAGAATTTATTCGCGTTGGGATTCGTACGCAAGATAATCGATAATTTAATAAAGGTCGAAGAATTATTCGAAGAACGAATTATTTGAATTAAGAATTATTCGAATGAAGAATTGTTCGAATCAAGAATTATTCGAATCAAGAATTATTCGAGTCAAGAATTATCCGAATAAAGAATTATTCGAATAAAGAATACAGAATTATTTGAATAATGAATTATTCGAATCAAGAATTATCCAAATGAAGAATAATGAATTATTCGAATCAAGAATTATCCAAATGGAGAATAATGAATTATTCGAATCAAGAGTGTTTTGAATAACAAAATAATGAATAATCCTCATTGGACTAAAAAGAATTCGTACAACAATCTCAGATAACTATCGATTCGGAACAATTCGAGTAACGTCCGGTCCAGTAACAACCGAATAATCCCTGGAAACGGAAAGAACAATAAATAACGCGAAAGAGCCGAAACAGGCCAAAAACAAGAATTATCCGAACGACAGTGCGCCGTGTATATGCAATTTGGATCGACAAATGTCAAAAAGTAGAAGCGGTGAACACTGCCAAATGGTTCTACGGTGGCCAATCTCGCAAATGAAAATCGAATGTCGGAATTCGGTGTCGCGAAACTTGGTTTGTAGGTCGGCAAAGATTGTTCCGGCATTATCCGAGCGATCATTGGGATCGCGGGAAGAACGAATGGTGACAGTGGGATCGGACTATGAAATTGTGTACGTAGTTCGGCGACGTTCGGCGAACTTTTGCCGGCGGCGTTGGTGCGGGATTTAGGTTCAGCCGTGTGGCATCCGTGCGGCCGTGTATAGGCGTCGGTGTTCGCGGAACTTCGGCGTCGATGCTATTTATGCATCGGAAGTTCTCGTGTAGTATCTCCACCGCGTCTCTCTCGCTCGCTCGCGATTCGTTACTCGGCTCGTCCAACTTGGCCCGTCGATAATTCAAAAGTTGATAACCGATAGTCACGCGAGCCTGTCACGAAATGTCGCGGCACCGACACTTTTTACGATCGGCAGCGGATCGAAGGACCCGAAGGCCGCGAGGAGCCGGAAGCGACGAGATTATGCTTGTCCCTGCGAAATGGTACAACTAACTTATCAGCCGGGGTCACGCGACGTTTCTTGCTTCGTTAACGACGATAACACTCCGGGATTTGAATGATTATTAACGAGATAATAATTCTGGTGTGGAGTACGTGTGTCTATTTTTAACTCTGTTAGGGAATTTCCTTGTAAATAAATTATACCTTCTGCAGTCAGATTGTAGCAAGTTAGGTATCATAATTTGAATTAGAGTTTACGTCAACTTTGAACGGGTATAACTATTGAACCAGTGGTTTGCGCACCTTGGGACATCGATGTTTGGATTTTTCTCGACAAAATATACGAGATTATATGTAAAAGAGCTAAAAATCTCAGGACCCCTAAAGTAAAGTTTAACAAAAACATCTGCATTATGAATATATTTAAGTTTTCACTAAAATTGCAATTTGACCAGTCAGCTGTTTTCGACGAGCACGCTTCAGAAATGGTGATATTTTAATATATTCTAATACTAATGTATTAATTATATTTATTATAATATATTATATTACAACCGGTCAATATTTAGGACGTCTCGAATATTATTTGCGGCCGAGGGCGACGTGAAACGAGCGAATAAAAAAAACTACGAACAATTATTGTGCCGGTCACAACGGAAAGCATCGCGACTTCTCAAGCATACTCGGCGAAAACACAGATAACTGGATAATTGGAACGCGCAAGCACCGCGTCGACTGCGGCGAAAAAGAAGCGAAGTTGTTCAGCGGCCACCGCGGAGTCGATATCATTGTACATCGGCATAACAGCTGGTCGGTCTGTCCGCGTATAGACGTAGTTTTCCAACGAGGTGTTTTCATCGGGGGATAAACAGAATCCGCGGCCGTTCATTATCGCTTTATCTAAAGCTCGCCGCGGCGCCGCGCGCCGGTTCGAGTGCACTTCGCGTCGCCGCACGCCCTCTTGCACAATGGAACCGGCACGCAATT